GCAGTGTTCTTGAGGGGATTCCTGGTCTTCGGCCATCTCGCTCCGCTCAAGTTGATGGGTTTAGGGTTTTAGGGGCTTGGGGTTTAAGGTTTAGGGTTTGGGGCTTAAGGTTTAGGGTTTATAGGGCTTAAGGTTTCGGGTTTAGGACTTTAGGGTTTTAGGGTTCAGGAATTTTGGGTTAGGTGTTAGGGTTTCGGGTTCAGGGTTTGCCTGAAAGGAGCAGCACCTTATCCCACGAAGTGTTGCTGGTGAGAGGGGTCCTAAACCCAGACACTCCAATATCCCTTAATTAAGGAATAGACCTCAAATGTTATTAGGGCCCCTATTACAATTTCAGGTATATATTCTGTTATCAAGGGATAATGGAGTCTCTTTCAACCAAACCCCTAAACCCTTTTGCATCCAGGACTCTCGCCCAACCCGAAACCCTAAACCCCTGAACCGTCGACCTCCCTAAGGGTGTTATCGACTCACACGGCTCTCGTTGCGCTTTGGGTGGCCTCATTGAATTCTAAAGGCATTTCGGGTTCATGGCTTATGGCAGGCCGTAGGGGCTCAGGGAATTCAAGGGTCCAGGGTATAGTATAGGGTTTGGGGTTTCACTAGCCAGACACCACAAGGGACTAGTTGACTCGTCTTCGCTGACTCAGGAATTCAAAGGAAGAGCTTCAGCAAATGCTCAAGGGATGTAGTACTCCAGAAACCAGCGTCCACCTTGCAAGAGCTTAGATAGAGGGATCTTCACTCTCTACAGACCATACGCCGCGAAATGCTGCCGAGATACTCTCGCAGTCTCACCACAAGTGCGGTCTACTGGAGGGTAACAAATGATTTCCGAGACTACGGAGCCACGGAATATGGTTCAGGGTGCCAAACCTAGGCGAAACATGTTCATAAGAGGCGATGCAAACGACCCCAAACCCTAGACCCCTAAACCCTAAACAAAGTAGCAGTGGTCTGTGCTGAAACCGGCGGTCTCTGTTGGGAGCTGCTCATACCATACGCGTGTCTGTGGATGCGAGTGGTTACTCGTGACGGATCCATGGAACAGTACGACCGCAAAGAATGAAAAAAACAAAAAAACTAGCAAGACGAAAAGGAAGATTTACACACATTTCTTAGTCCAAAGAGTGCGACAACAAGGTACTGAGACACAAAGGAGGCAGTGCAACAAGTTTTCCTCTGCGCTTGTTATAGGACCCATGACAGCATGGAGCTCCTGAGAAAGAAAATGCGTGCTACTGCACCATGACAGGCTGCATCTGGACTCAGCGTCGAAGTCCGATGCCGCAAGCAGCTCACCACTTGTCAGCCTTGCTGTAGACGTAGTTGGCCACGTCCTCGATGTCATCGGGCCCCAGCTTCTCACCGAAAGCAGGCATGGCACCGTTGCCGTTGGTCACCTGGGTGATGATGGCCTGAACATCGTACTTGCCGTACTGGACGAGGGCTTCCTTCTTAAGCTTCTTCTCTGCCACAATCGAGTTGTTCCCACCGGCGTGGCAGGCGGTGCAGTTGCCGTTGAAGATAGCCTCGCCGTTCTCCAGGTCCGCAGCGAAAGCCGGTCGGCCAGTAGCCACGGCGATCAAAAGCCCCAAGGCTGCACCGACAGCAAGCGGGCTCCAGGAAGCTGACTCAGGAGTGCCGTTGATGGCGCTTGGCTGTCCCACCACAGCACCCGACTCCGTCTGAGGTGCGCCCTTCGGAAGAGTCGCAGGCACGATGAAGCAGCTGGCGCCGTAGAGGGCCAGGGAGGCAGCGAACACGATGCCAGCAACGCGGGACATGGTCTTTGTGCTGAGATGGAAGCTACAAAATGGCCCCTTGCAACAGCCAAACGCTTTGAGCAATGCAACAGGTGAAATCTGGAATAGTAACGGGCATGGCAAAGTAACAGCAGAAGCTTGCAAGTGTACCTAGCAGACACTAATGTAGCATGAACGCCGCTATCTTGCAAACGTACTGCACATGACATTTCTGCATACACGTTTAAGTCTCTATGCGTGTGTCTGTATGCATGCACGCATGTGTCTAAGTGCGGTTTCTACGCAGAGAAGTGTACATGTAGAAACCTCTAAGGCTCTAAGAAAGAATGGAGCAACCGTGAGTGGGGCAGCCGCGGGGTGTGTATTGATATGCGGCCCACATGAACAAAATGTCCTGGTGGTTGGTAGTCGCACGTGCACATGTATCTGCATGAACCTTCGGCGCCGTAAACTTCAATCCTAAAGCACCCTGCGCCAATTTTCCCAAAGTTTCGAAGCCTGTGTCTCAGACTCCAACCCTGAAGCCACGATGCAAGCCCCCAAAACCGGAATCCTCCGAAAGTTCTCCAAGAAAGGCACCTCAGAAGCCGGTCGGTGTGGGTACTCATCCCAAGGGTCACCTGGAGTTAGGAGCTCAGGTCTGGGACATTTTCAGGTGGGTAGTTACCGCTATAGGAGCCTTATACAAGATCTATAAGTATACAAGATCTATAAGTATACCTCATAGAAGCCTTATAGAAGTTCTAAAGCCTTACTTGTAGGTTCCTTTAACTTCAGGGGTCTTCTAGTGTTTCGACTCTCACTCTCACAAGCAGGCAAGGCTTCGGGCAGCATTGAGGGTTCCTGGGTTCCATTTCTGGCAGTTTTGTTTCCAGGGCCTCGGTGGGGTTCAGGGTTTCGGGTTTAGGGCCTCGGTGGTGAAGAAGATAAGGATTTTGGTAAAGGGGCTCGGGATTACGCGGCCTAAGGTGACGGGAAGAGGCTTCGGGGCCCCCGGCTTCAGGATCGGGGTTTGGCCCCTTTTTGACCGCTTAGGTCGCTTAAAGCCGAATCTGCGCCTAAACCCCTAAACCCCTAAGCCCCTAAACCCTAAACCCCTAAACCCTAAACCCCTAAACCCTAAACCCCCAAAACCCCTGAACGCCTGCCTAAGCCCTACGTGCTTAAAGTTTGGGGCGAAGGGCCGGTTTGCAGGCTTGGGCTCTCCCTGCACACGCTTTCCGTCGGCCTAAACACTTTCGGAGTTCGGGCTGCTCGGTCAAAAAGAATGTCTTGGCGGTTTTTGGGATTTAGGGTTTTCGGGTTTAGGGGTTTAGGGTTTAGGGTACCAGCTCATCAAACTTCCCTCCAAAACCCCGGTAAACCATTTTGAGGTAAGCTCTCATAGTTAGCACCGTAGCTGTAGCTTTTGCAGTAGCCCTCTTTGCACAGACTTGTGCTTGCCCGCCGGGTTCTCAGAGCTTGCCGCACAGCAACCCTAAGACATAAAGCCCCAGCTCGAGACCCAAAACCCAGAGGGTCCGAGTACCCAAAATAGTAAGCTTCTATAGGGGTCCCCAAAATCCATACTCTGAATGGTTTTTTGGACCTTGAAACCCTACTATCTGGGCACTTGGACCCTGAGGGAAAACCATCCCCTAAACCCGAAACCCCTGTATCCTTTGATCCTAAATCCCTCAACCCTAAAGCAGAATAAACCCTATAAACCCTAAACCCATTTTGCTCTCTCCAGGATGTGCCTCAACTCTAGACTCTTGACTCAAAACCATCAAACCTGAGGCCAGCGGCCATCGTCTCGGCCACCAGCTCAACGAGCTTCAACTCGCTGTCCGCCTCCTGGAGTGGGGGGTGGTATGGGGTTTGGGGTTTGGGGTTTAGTCGCAATTTAGGGTTTGGGGTTTAGGGTTTAGGCTACACCCGGAAAGGATGCCCCAACCCCACCTGCATCCTGTAACGCCCAAACCACCAAAGCCCGGTAAGGCCCGGGAATACAACACCTAAGTGATGCCTCAACCCCATGTGCACCCTCTACACCCTATAGACCCTAAACCCCTGTAGAACCCGAAACCCTGGCAGGAATCCTAGTGACGGGCTTAGGAGACTTAGTAAGTAGACTATAATTGGGGATATAAGTCAACTAAGTGGTGTTATTTACCAAGTCCTTTGAACCTTTAATTTTAAGCGCTTCGCGTCGTCCGCCTGTTTAGTCACAATTTAGGGCTTTCGGTTTTTAGGGTTTAGGGCCAGTGTAGGGATTTGGGGGATAGGGGTTTAGGGGTTTAGGGTTTAAGGATATAGGGTTTGTGGCTTAGCAGGGCTTAGGGGCTTTTTGACACTCACACTCGGACTGGGGGTTTAGGGGGTTTGGTTTTTTCGGTTGTGGGTTCGAGTTCAGGAGTTGGGCTTTCGCTCTCACTCGGATTCTTGGAAGGAAGCATGCCCGCCTTTTAAGCGGAACAGGGCCTCTACGAGGACTTTGACGAGTAAGCTGGGTTCCCATGGGGTCATGAGGATTGTGATAAGCCTAGGGGCCGAGTACCTTAGCCCAAAAAAGGTTAACCTTTTGAATTATAATCGGTTCATATAGGCCCAAAAGGTTAAAGGTTACCTACTCAGCCCCTAAGTAAGGGAGTTACGGATCCCCAGCAAGCCAGAGGGGCCAGGAGGATGTCATGGTGTCGAGATTTAGGGTTATTTAGGCCGTCGGGCATTGGGTGCAGGGGCTTTTGCAAGGGCTCTCTGCCTGACACCACCTTTCTTGTGGCAACCCGTGCAAAGCAATAGCAACCCTTATCACAAACTATTAACAAACCCTAACACCCTAACACCCTAAACCCTGAACCCCCTAACACCCTAACACCCTAAAAACACTAAGCACCCTATAAACCCTAAGCGCCCTATATACCCTAAACCCTAAAAGCCCTAAACCCTAAAAACCCTAACACCCTAAGCACCCTAACACCCTAAGCACCCTAACACCCTAAAAACCCTAACACCCTAACACCCTAAACCCTAACACCCTAAACCCTAACACCCTATAAACCCTAAACCCTAACACCCTAACACCCTAACACCCTGGCACCCTAAAAGCCCTAACAACCCTATAAACCCTAAGAACCCTAAGAACCCTATAGATCCCTTAAAGGAACCCTTAAAGGACCCTAAACCCTAAGACCCCCTATGAGTCCCAGGCCTCGCCCTGGCCCAGTCCGTAAGCCTCGGCGTTGACGCCTCCATTTCCAACCTCAGCGCGACTTTGTGGCCGGTTTGGGGGTTTAGGGTTTAGGGGTTATATAGGGTTTAGGGGTTTAGGGGTTTAGGGGTTTAGGGGTTTAGGGTTTAGGAGTTAGGGTTTAGGGTTTAGGGGTTTAGGGGTTTAGGGGTTTGGGGTTTAGGGGTTTTTCCGTGGCACTTAGGGCTTTACGGGTCCTGCAAAGCATTTGCAGGGTACAGGGTCTAGAGTCTTGGGGGGCTCTTTGGGGTTTAGGGTTACGGCTGAGCTAAACCCTAAACCCGAACCCTGGGTCCAATTTAGGGTGTATAGGGCGCGGAACAACGAACTGCATCAGATTCGAAGGAGAGCTTCAGCTGCCGCGGTCAACTCTTCTCCTGGAGGGGCCTAATAGGTGGAACGGCGTGTGTCGGTGTGCGGTGTGTGTGTGTGT